CGGAATCTCGTCCACCAGTTTAATGGCCCAGCGAGGGTTCACCTGAGTTCGAGAAGTGAGTAGGTAGATAAGATAGGATTTTAAAAACTGAAAACAAGTGCCAAGTTGGCAACACAAACCTTCTTCGTCTTGCCGACAAATCGAGCCAGACGGTAGTCGTTCTTCTCAAACACCTATCAAATGCAAAAGTGTATTAGTTAGCACTCATAATGATCATCATCAGTAGTAGCAGCTTACCTGACCAGTGTGGGTTTCAATGTCCTGGAACTCGTCGCTTTTTGAGACGGCCGTGGTGGAGGCACCTGGAGCAGAGCTGCCGCTGCTCGTCGAGGCACTCGCTCGGCTGGCCAGAGCCACGCGGGATACCTGCTTCAAACACTGCAATCGGCTGATCATCTTGGTGGAGGCAAACTGTTGAAGAAGGTGTAGAAGTTGAAGTCCACCTAAGGTTGCAAAAGAAGAAGATGCAGCACACAAACAATCAAAACAAACATTCACCTTGTGAACTTTTTTCAAGACTATTTACACCTAAAGTTGTCCAAGTTTTTAAGTTTTCAAAATCTTATTTTTCAATCTCAAGATACAATTTAAAAATGAAACTTTTTATCAGCTTTAGAATTACAATAAATTTTTTCGCAATTAAAAATAAGAAGTTTTGATTTGATCAGATTACAATTTGAATTTTGGCAATTTATTTATGAAACATCATTTTCAGCGGCTAGGTGTGAATAGCCATTTCACCACATGTTTGCAAAAACACAGTTTTGTTGCAGACTTCTTTTCTTGACGGCAAATCGGATCATTTCTGGTTCGAGTTCTAGTCTTCATCTTGTCCTGGGACCAGCCTAACTTCTGTTGCTAAGAAGACAAGGTAAGATTACTGATTTGTTGATTGTTCTAATTGATGATCAGAAAGTTCTGTCCCTCTTTTTCACAGATCAACAAACCCGGTCTTTTTGTTGTAAACACAAACAAACAAACACGTAACATGTTCTTCACCCGAATCGCCGGCCTCTTAGGCCGATCTTCTTCTTCATCGACCGTCTTCAGTCATCAGCCGCAGAATGTCCTTCGGGCACTAGCCCCGTCGATGATAAGCCCCGCGGGGGTCATTGCCGCTTCCCCCTCATCTCGCATCATTCTATCACCTCTCTTGCCTTCTCTTTCGCCCGCCGCCTATCAGCTCACCCAGGTTCGAGCCTTTCGCGACAAGGACGTGCTGAAGCTGCGCTGCAACGCCTGCTACTTCAAGAAGGAGGACGACCGGTGGTGGGTACTCTGCTCCAAACATCCCCGCCACAAGCAGCGCGCCAAGGTGGAGGACCACCGCCTGAAGTGGATCGTAACGCACATCACCCGGACGGGCTCCTACCGGCGCAAACACTTTCAGTATGCCCACCAGGACATCTAGATGATCATCCAAAGGTCAGGCACAGCTGTGTAATAGTGTGTGTGTTCCCGCAATCATCGCTATCATCATCGTCAACACAACCTCTGCTCCCTCTCAACAAATCTCTGTTTCTTGATGATGATGACGATGAGATAATCTCTCCAGCCAATGTTTATACAAAGGCGAAAGAAGTTTCTCCGCTTTAGAAAATAATCAGTTGTCTAGCAGTGTGTTTTAGCAAAAGCAATTATTATTGTGTAAATGTTAGTAAACAAAAAAAGCAGTCAGTGAAAAGTCTGCGCAACAAATACTGTTCTCTTCCTCGTCGGCGACTCCTATCCTAAAATCTGTTCTGGTGCAGGAGACACCCTCACTAGTGCAGTGAAAACCCGTCGTACATCGAAAATCGTAGGTGGAGGAGAAAAGTTTCCGTTCAGTAAAAACATAGTAGTGGGTTTGTCAGCAGTTGATTGTTTCTACTTTATCGGCTCCAACTTTACGTGCTTGCACGAGACGGGGCTTTTTTCCTTCCACAGCCTGATCACCACCACCAGCAAACACTGAAGCAGCAGCAGCAGCAGCAAATCGAAATCAGCGTCCAAAATCAATCACTCTTCCGATGAGCAGCACGCCATATGCTACGGAGCCAATCTCTCCACCACCACCACCACCAATCCCATTGGGAGTGCAGTTCAACGCAAAGTTCATTCAAACATTTTCTCATTTAGGCACCCTGATAAGGCGCTGATGGCGGCGCGCTGATACGGCCCAAACTTCAACTTTTGATGACAGGCCGGCAAAGAGAGCGCTGAGGAGGAGAGGAGAGGACGGCGCTGTTGAACTGCCGTTGACATTTCGCTCTTTCTTTTCTATGGTGCCGGTTTCGTCTGGTGCAGTAGAAGGCGATGAAGAAGATGAAGACATGGAGAAGAAGAAGAAGAAGAAGATCACTCGAGCTAGCGGCGTACCATTAGATGAAGTGAAGATTGAGGACTGAGGAGTCGGTCGGTCGATCAATCGCCGATCAATCGACCAAAGATAGAAGAAGAAAATGAAGAGGCCCCACTGCTGGGCAAAAACACTTGTGTGTGCTCTCACGCTTTACTATCTTTCTTTAGTGAGAGAGAGGACAGAGATAAAACCGTCTTCAGCGTGGGGAATTTTGCCACTGCCTCCTCCTTCTCCTTCTTTTCACCATCACTTGGTTGTTGATTGTTGAAACGGCAGCAGAAATCCCAGCAATCCGCGAAGGCGGAAAATAAAAGAAGAAGCAGCGAGAAGAAAAGAAGAGCACACAACGAACAGCTGGTGAACACAACACACTCGATTCGTTTTTTAAACTTCTACCACCTTAAGAACCTCACATAACCTCATTTCTGAACATGGATCTCACTCGTCGATCACCGATTTTTACCTCCTCTTCTTTCACATCCTCTTACACTACCTCCACCACCTCCCTCCTCATTCTCCTGCTCCTTTGTTTCTCTGTGCAGCTGACCGCTGCCCGGAACTTCGTCCACTCCCGCGATGAGATCAAGCTGACGGCTCACGTCACCATAGCGCAGACTAATTGTGCCAAAAATGAGACGCCCATCTTTGTGCATACTGCAGCGGTCACCGAGGGAAAGTACTTCGACCGGAGGATGACCATCAGGAAGACCTGGGCGCGGGAGGCGAAGGAGGCTAATTTGAAGGTAAGTTCTATTTGTCCTTTTTTGAATTACAAATCTAACCTTTCTTTCTTCTTTTGTAGGTCATCTTCGTCATCGGCATTCCGCCAAATGCTACCACACAGGCGGAAATCAAACGAGAGGCGGCCACCTACGGCGACCTGCTCCAGTTCGCCTTCACCGAGAACTACTTCAACATCACCCTGAAGGCGATCGCCGAGCTGAACTGGTCGGCACGGCACTGCAACGGCAGCGCCTACCTCCTCCGCGTCGACGACGACGTGATAGTCAATGTGCCACGCCTCTCGGCGGCCATCGCCGAGGGCAAGTTCCGCCCCGGTCTGACCGGCCAGGTGGAGGTCACTGAGGCTCATCGAGAGCCGGCGCACAAGTGGTACATGCCGCCGCGGTACTACCACGCCGACTCCTACACCTTCATCAAGGGCTTCGGCTACCTGCTCAGCACAGACCGCCTGCCGAAGCTGCTCGCCTCCATGGGCCGCTACCGGGGCTTCGTCCTCGACATCGACGACGTCTACGTGACAGGCGTGCTGGCCGATTACGCGAAAATTGACCGCCACCACGACGTCGGCTTTCGCCACTACTGCGGCGGCGATGTGTGCGTCCTCGAGAGCAGTCTCGTCATCTACGGGTGCGCCTTCAGCGCCGAGGCGGAGGCGATGTACGAGGAGTGGAAGCGGGAGGCGGCCAGCAAGGACTGCGGCAATGAGGTGGACGGAGGATCGGTGGCAGAAACGGAAACGACTAGTCCCAATAATAATAGTACCGAAGTGGGCGAGCCCTGATGAAGATGAGGGGGGAAAACATGTGTTTAGCTCATACCTTATTTATACGACTCCCACTGACGCCTATTTATACCTCCTCACTTCCTTCTCATTTTGTTGTTCATAGAAACCAGTACCTCCCATTCTCTCTACTCTTTAATTATTACCTCCTCACCTTCTCTCATTTTAAAACCCTTATTTATACCTCTTACCATTTTTCTACCATTTTGTTCATATGTAATAAACAACTGCTTTTTGTAAGATCACCTTTTTAATCTCTTCTTCTTTTTCTGGTTCAACATTGACATTTATTTCTGCTTTTGTTTTTAGAGTGCCAAAAAAACTGATCAGTCAATGGCGTGGACATTTCCCACTACCACCACCTCCCACGCTTTGAACACATGTTCATCAGTTCGGCTCCGCCCACTGTTTGCACTGCTTTGGACATTAACATTACGTTGGCATGTGTTTGCAATCGTCTGTAACACACATCTACTACTACTACTACTGCTACGATCACCACCACCGTACACTGTACCATTTATTCACCGCTATTCACCAACGTTGATGTGCCGTTGCATCGCTTGGCAATAGTTGTTCGATTCATTCATTCACTCTCTCCCTTGCAAAAGCAGGCAACAAATGGCTGGCCTTGACTGTTGCTGTTGTCAGTAGACCAAAACGAATGCCGAAGTAGTTCTGAGTAATGTTCATCGCATTTTGATTGTGAGTGAGTCACAGTCAGTCAGTCCGTTAGTGTTGCCAAACAAGCGAGACCGTTACTAACACTTGACAATCATCAACAACAGCAGTTAATTTTTTTCCTTTCATTGTTTTCACCACTTTCAGATCAAGATGAACTCTGCCAACGTCAGCAGCAGCACCAGCAGCAGCAGCAGCAACCACTCATACTCCAAACTGGCTCGACCGAGCAGTCTATCGCTGAATCGCTCCGATGAAAACAACTCATCATCAACTGCTGCTTCTGTCGAGAAGCCGATAAGCTTCTTTAGCACCACCACCACCACGGCGAAAACGCCGGAAGAAATGGACAACAGGCAGTTCTCGCAGCTGCTGGCGGCTGGTTTTGCAGCAGCTGACGGTAATTCACAGACGTCCAGCGGTACTGGTAGCGGTACTGCACCTGTCATCTCAGTCAACAAGTGGAATAAGAAGTTCGTCTAACTGTAGCTCACTTGAGCTGTCAACGTTCTACATCAACAACAACTGTGTTTTCCTTCCGCCGCCGTTTTGCGCACACATGTTTTCCCAAATATTTTCCACATTTCTTCTTCTTCGATCACCACTGATTAATCATCTTTCCAACACCGAAGATACAGTGCTGCTAGTGCTGCTCATTGCACCGCTCGATTGCAGCAGCAGCAGCTAAAACCTGTAAACAGAGAGTGCATTGCTGTGTGTGTTTTCACCAGTTGCTGCTGCCGCTGCCGCATCAATCAGACCTGCACTCTCAGTTGCAGTTTCAGCCAGTTTCACCTAATCGGCAACACAGTCAGCGAACGAGCTAGCCACAAAAAGAGCATCAACTGTGTGTCTTTGTACCGCCTAGAAATTTCCCAGCAAAAGATAATGGGAAATGAAGAAGGGGAAAGTGAAAGCAGCTTGTACCCTCGTCAGTCAGTCAGTCATAATAAAAANTGCATCAACTGTGTGTCTTTGTACCGCCTAGAAATTTCCCAGCAAAAGATAATGGGAAATGAAGAAGGAGAAAGTGAAAGCAGCTTGTACCCTCGTCAGTCAGTCAGTCATAATAAAAAAATATTGTAATCAGCAATAAACAAAATGTGAAATGAACACCGCGAAAACACACATTGTACCTGCACGAAATGTCAGTGCTGTGGTGAATGCCCCCCCCCCTGAGCATCACTGTACAATTGAACGCCTAGGCTATTGTTATTTCAATCGGCAACGGTGTCAAAAAGCAATAAAAATGCAAAGAGATATGTTCCTGAAAACAATGCAAACAAGAGAGGATGGTAAAATAAAGAAGAAAAAGAAGAAGAAGAGGGAAAGGAGAGAGAGAGAGAAAGATCAAGCCGACGATGCCAATGCCAACAGCAGCAACTGATTGGACGGCAAATTATCGAGCAATCAGCGGTAGACTTGCAAATAAGCAAAGAGAGAAAGCTGAGGTGCATTGACAAATAGAAAATGGTATTCAAGTTTAAAGTGAGTGAGGGAATATGGGAGAGAGAGAAAGTGAAAGTAACTACTACCACAACTGCTATTATCAACAGGTTTGTGACCACCACCACCGCTGCCGCCAATCAGGCAATCAGTCAGTCAGTTATTGCCTTGACGTAATCTACAATGTATTTACGGGGCTGCTGCTGCTGCTCTTTTGTNGGGGAAAGGGGAGAGAGAAAGTGAAAGTAACTACTACCACAACTGCTATTATCAACAGGTTTGTGACCACCACCACCGCTGCCGCCAATCAGGCAATCAGTCAGTCAGTTATTGCCTTGACGTAATCTACAATGTATTTACGGGGCTGCTGCTGCTGCTCTTTTGTAGATATTATAATTCCCTCATCATTCGATGGAACTACTACTGTGTAGATTGGCCAGTCTCAGTGTAAGCGAGTGTAATTTTAATTTCTTCTTCTTTTTTCCTTTTCTTCTGAATTCATCTGAAAACTTGTTCCCCCTCCTCCTCCTTCCAGTGCACTAGCATTGAACACCCTGTAGATATGTTTGGTTGTAGTTATTTTGAACAGAAGACAGAAGTCAGACTGAGAGATGAAAGGAGAGATTGAAAGGGGAGATTGAAGCAGTGCAAACACAGTTGCAGACGTCTACTTAGTTGTCGCCCTTTTCTTGTTCTTGAACTTTCTCTCTTCCATCTTTTTTCCATCTGCCAAAAATAATGCCAAAGTTTAAAATTTGACAAACAAAAATACTGCCCCTTTCTCTACTGTTTTCATTGCCACACCCACATATCATTGTTTCATCAAGTTCCTCCATTTTACAACGAAACATGAATATCGTTTTTATCTTGTCAGTTCCTCCTCTCTTTCTGCTGCTGTTTTTCACTCAAAGTTGTGATGGTCGAAATTACCGGCACGTCTCCGCAGAGATGGTCACCACAAATCAGCTGGTGATCAACCAGACCAACTGCGCCAAAAATGAGACGCCCATTTTTGTGCACACGGCGGCGGTCACATCGGGAAAATACTTCGACAGGAGGATGACCATCAGAAAAACTTGGGGAAAGGAGGCAAAGGAGGCGGGCATGAAAGTACTAAAGTTCAGGGATTTAAAATTAACTCGGCCATTCACTAAAAACACTTTTTTCAGGTAATCTTTGTCATCGGCGTTCCGCGAAATCTCACTTTTCAAAAGGCGATCAGGGCAGAGGCAAAGCAGTACGGCGACATGCTGCAGTTCAACTTTATTGAAGGTAGCTTTTTGCATTTATTAAATTCTTATCAATTAAAAAACCTCTTTTTCGTTTAGACTACTACAATCTAACGCTAAAAGCAGTGGCCGAACTAAAGTGGGCGTGGCGGCACTGCGCCAACAGCACCCGCTACCTGATGAAGGTCGACGATGACGTCCTCGTCAACGTTCCCCTCCTCAAGAACTGGGTCACCGAGGGCCGCATTCCTTCGGGTATCACCGGTCGGGTGATGACCACCCCCGCCAATCGCCAGTTCGGCCACAAGTGGTACATGCCGGCGGAGTACTACGACAAGTCTTCCTACAAGTTCCTCAGCGGCTTCAGCTACCTCCTCTCGATGAATCGCCTCAAAAAGCTGCTGGACGCCATCAAGCGCTACCGAGGGCCCATTCTGGACATTGACGACCTCTGGCTGACGGGGGTGATGGTCGACTACGGAAAGGTGCGCCGGTACAACAACCACCGCTTTCGGTACTACTGCGGCCTGGACGAGTGCACCATGGCGGGCAGTCTGGTGATGCACGCCTGTCCGCAGAGCAGGGACACCCAGGTGATGTACAACGTCTGGCGGCAGTCCACCGGAATCGGAACTTCCGCCGGAAATGGAAACGGTGGCACATTTACGCCCTGGTGGTGCTGGGATGATCCCTTTGAGCGGTCCTCTTTGGATCAGTTTACCCGATCGCAGGGAGGTAATGGCAATGGAAACAGCGTTAACAGTATCAGCAGCAGCAGCAACAACAACAACGTGGTCGTCGGAGGCAGTGGCAGTCCTGGTGGTGGTGGTGGTGGTAATGGTGGTGGTAGTGGCAATCGATCCTCCGCCGATTCACGACTGTTCAACTTTAATTTAGGCGACCTCCGCTTTATTGTCCAGTCAAGGTAGTGCTGCNATGGCAATGGAAACAGCGTTAACAGTATCAGCAGCAGCAGCAACAACAACAACGTGGTCGTCGGAGGCAGTGGCAGTCCTGGTGGTGGTGGTGGTGGTAATGGTGGTGGTAGTGGCAATCGATCCTCCGCCGATTCACGACTGTTCAACTTTAATTTAGGCGACCTCCGCTTTATTGTCCAGTCAAGGTAGTGCTGCTGCTGCTGTTGTTGTTGTTGTTTTTGCAGCAAATGCTAATGATCTGCTAATGAGATATGTTGCTGCTGCCGCTGCTACTACAATTACTACATTTCTTTTTTAATTGTCCTCAATTGTAATTACACACTTTTTTATTTATGAAATGAAGTTGTTTTGTATAATTTTCATAGAAGGGGGGGGGCACTATTTTTTAATGGAGACGAGTTGTACCTGTTTTCAAAGAGTGTAGCTGTAAATGTGTACAGCGAAAATGCGGCATAAAATAGTAACTTTTTGGTAAACTACAAAAACGATGATTTATGCAAAAGCATGCACAACGTTTAAACGATTTTTCAAACATTTTAACATTTTTCACAAACAAAAGCATAGCAGCAGCAATACACAAACAATCTTAAAATGTTTTTCGCCCTCAAACTTCTTCTTTCCAACCTTGCATCACTCACACTGAAAGTACTAGTCGCCTCAAAGGTAC